TTCGTGAAAATGTCTGCAGGATTGTCCGCACCAGGAATATGAATAATCTTCAGCTGCTTACCCCGAATCGCCTCTCGCAGCCAATGGTACCGGATGTGCAAGTGCCGTACCCGCGAGAAGTTCGTCGAACGAGTCGCCAGGCTTTCTCCCCCAGCGCTGTCCATTCGAATCACCACAGGACGCTGGATCGGCACGTAGATCTCGTCCATGAAGTTCGCGATCCAGACTCCCGTCTGCCCTGCGTGAACGGCAGCGATGTATTCGGCCTCGGTGGTCGACAGCGTCACCACTGCTTGCCTCCGCGAGCTCCATGAGACTGGTCCGCCCGCCATCATGACGACGTGTCCGTGCGTCGACCGTCCCGTGTCGGCGCAGTCGCCCTGGGACGCGTCCGAGTAGATTGTGGGTTGGAGACCTGCTGAGTGGTTGCCGTCGTAGGTTATCCCATAGTCTAGGGTCCCTCTGATATAGCGAAGAACACGTTTGAGTGCGCGCCAGTGCTCGTACGACGGGTTCGCCATGAAGCGGCTAAGGAGTTGGACCGGGTAGGATAGATCAGGGCGAGTCGCGACGGCGAGGTACATAACGGCTCCAAGCGCTTCGCGGTAGGGGATCTTCTCCATTTCCTCGCGCTGCTCAGCGGTCGCCGGCTCAGCTTCCTTCGACAGCTTGCACCCGGGCTCGAGTGGTGCCTTGACCGGGTTTGAGTTCTTCATCCCGAACCGGTCAAGCACGCGTTCCGCGTACGCACACTGGGAAAGACGCATCGTCTTTTGCGCCCGGTCTCGCTCGATCAGAACACCTAGCATGTACTTCAGCTCACCTCCCCCGCTGAGCCGGTACCGCACAGCGAGCTCGGACCGCACGGTTGCTAGCCCTTCCTCCGAATCCGCCGCCTCCCCGATGTCGTCCGTGTACGTTGCGGTAATAGCCAGACCGTCTCCGTCGAACCTCGCCCGTACGCACTCATCCGATCGCGATCGCGAGAAGCCCAGGTCCTGGTACGTCTCGTCAAGGTGCTTCCACCAGTCGTTTCCCGCCTGCATGCACCCGTACAAGCCACGTACCATCCTGCAGACGTGAGTCGGAAACTCCGCCGAGACGTACCCAGCCGGTTGTTCCATGTAGATAGTCTCTTCCGGGGATGCATTGAGGTATGCTTTCTCGACGTCATCCTGCGCCATCTCCATGTCGCGTACAACCGCCGTCGCACATACCAGTCGTAGAGATTCGAACCGCACGACAGAGGCGTGGGTCTCGAAGTAGTCGACGCCGGGTATCTGCTGAAATCCTTTCGCCACGAGCCGTGCCTTCGGTTTCCACTTCCCGTTGGACTCCTCGTCGCCGTTGAACTTCCGTGCGTATACCCATTTGTTTCCTATTACGTTCATGTCTGGTGTGCGTGGTACGAGCTCCCATGCGTTGATTTTCTTCAGGCCATTGATCTCGCTGTCCATCGAGGGTGTCCAAATCTCCGATTGACGGCATGCCTCTTTGTAGGTCTCCGGTGTCTTGCCCCCGCGGTACCACCGGACGTCCCCGTCACTGCCTGCAGACGTCGCCTCCGTGAACATGGCCAAGTAGGCGCCCTCCGGGCTCGGATTACGCGGGGCAACCCCATCGTCGTCGACGGCCCACGCTTCTCCCTTGTCGCGCGCCGCCTGTTCACGCTCGTCGGACTCGTGTGACTCACGTAGTTTCTGGCTCGGTGCCGTGGCTCTCGTCGATCTGCGCGGTGCTACTGCCTCCCTCGGCGCTTCGATAGGTTCATCCACCTCTGCTGGCCTCGCCTCTCCCGCAACTTCCGGCTCCATGCGCTCCGGCTGACCGTCGGGTTCCTCTACGACGTGTCCCAGTTCCTGCTCCTGCTCCACTTCCTCGACATGCACAACGGTCGGTGTGTCCTGGATCAGAGTTCGGTGCCCGGGTCCTTCCTCAAATATAACATTGCGGCTCCGGATCATACGACCAGTCGCTGGGTCCCACAGCCTGTAGTTCGCATTCTCGGTGTACCCGACGAGGATACACCGGATTGACTTTGGGTCTAGTTTTGTACGCGTCTCGTCGGGGACCTTCGCCCATGCCACTGATCCAAAAGCTCGCAGGTGAGCGACGTCCGGCACGCGTCCGAACCACGCTTCGTAAGGCGTACGACCTCCTTGGCGTGCAGAAGCCGTCAGGTTCTTTACGTACGTCGCCGTCTTGTACGCCTCCGCCCACAGTCTAACTGGCAACCCTGCATCGAAGAGCATGGACCTGGCATGATCGCCCAAGGTTCGATGCCCGCGCTCTGCTATACCGTCCTGCTGGGGCGTGTACGGTGTCGTTGTCTCGTGGATAATCCCGTGCTTCCGAGTGAAAGCGGCCCACAGTGCGTTGTCAAATTCGTGCCCGTTGTCGGTACGTATGCGTAAGATTTTCTTGCCCGTCTGCAACTCGGCCATCGACTTGAAGCTGCTGAAAGACTCGAGAGTCTCGCTAGCTTCCTTAGTTTTCAGGATGTCAAGCGCTTCGAAGGATGATTTTCCGTCGTGGAGGGTCATGCTGTGGTATGCTCCGCCCAATGATGGCTCCCGTGCACGTCCCGTCAAGTCGATGTAGATTCGCTCACACACCTCCTTTTCGACGCTCGACGACGTAAAGGGCTTGCGAGGATGCTTCCCTTTGATGCAGTCCTCGCACTTCCCGAGCGGCATCCCTCCGACTACTTCCATGCCTGTGACTGCGCCGGATCTCGCCATTTCCATCACAGTACGCTCGCTGGCATGTCCGAAACGGCGATGCCAAGTGTGTAGGCAGTCAACTTTCCCGAAGTTGCCGCGTTCGGGATCGACTGTACGTTGACTCGAGACAGCACGACTTCGTATAGGTTGCCCGCGGGCATCTTCCCGACAAGGATAGGGTTTCCTCCGCCTTGGCCTATGATTCGCATCTCCCCTCCCTTGATCGCAATGTTGCACCCACTACCGTCGATCCGCGATATGGATATCAGGTTCGCCGCGAGCTCTGGTACATGGAGGGCGTTGCGAAAGGTGACTACCGACTTCTGACCTCCGATCGTCATCTCGGCGTGGACGCACCCGACACCGATGATAGTGAAGTTGGTGCCTCGTTTCGCGCTGCTTCCGGCGTGTGGGGTTAAAGGGAGGTACTCAGAAAAGTCTGCGTGGTTCGTGAAGTAATGATGGCTCGCGCCCGAGTCCAGGTAGGCACGTATCGTCCCGTCCGCTGGTTCATCCTGGATGAGGACTGCGCTGGCCATGAACACGTTGTAGTTGAGGGCCGCGGTAGGAGTCGCGAAGGATGAGGAAGGGATAGTGGTCGCCGGAGTACTGACGATCTGTGCGCTCGCCATGGGATGCGCTAGGTCGGCCGGCGAGCCCTTCTTCGGTCTCGGCTGCGACTTCCAAGTCGACGGTTGTTGGCCTGCCATCCCTCCGCCCTCGCAATAACACCTCTCCTTCGAATGACCCTTCCACAGGCACCAGTCGCAAATCATTGCCGCCTTCGCGGCCGTCATGAACGCTGACGTATGCTGCTCGACCGGCGCTGCCATCTGCGTGACTCCGAGTGGATTTTGGGGTTGACCGGTTCGTAGCATTTCGTTGTCGTGGACGGCGAGGATTGTCAGGATGACGTCTTCTGGATCGGATTTCGTAAGAAGGCTGGCCGTGATATGGTTGTATACATCGCCCATGGATTGGCATATGATGATCGCGAAGCGGTGGTCGGTGAGAGGTGATGCCATCTCGTTACACGCCTTGCGACGACGGCGTAGTTCCTCGAAGTGGGCATGGATGTCTGAGCCAGGGACGTACTTGCACTTCTTCAAATACTCCTCGGCGTTCATGACCGCCAGCTCGCTTCGCCTCTCCTTTATCGCCAGTAGAGCCGTCCAGAACTCGTACGCTGTAAGACCGAAGGGTTCAACACCGCAGATTGATAGATCCATGTTTAGCGTGCATGTTGCCTTCGCGTGCAAGTCATTCTTGTTCCATTTGGCAAGCTCGGTCTCTTCGGCTGGGGTGGGCGTGGCGCCGGCGGGCTTAGGCGCGGTCGTCTTTCCGAGCAAGTGGCCTAGCTTTCCCTGGAGTTCGACGATTGTGAGGATTTTGCTCTTCCACTGCACCCAGTTGGTGCGAGTCAGGTGGAAGTTCTCAGGGAGTATGATCACTTTGTCCTTGTCGTCCGACATCGTGGGTATATGCGTTTTCGGTGACTATATGCGTGTGAGAACGGTGGTTTTGCCGTGGAATCGTCGAAAACGGGTGGTTGTGCCCTTAAAGTGTCGTCGGTTTGTACGAGGAAGCGGTCAGAAAAACGAGACGGGGCTCATAACCTGTTAAGGTTACAAAGTCTAGGAATACAGTATCAGTGCCCAGCATCCGAGAATAAAACTACAAACAGGCTTACCTCAGTCGCGTCCTCGTGGTACTCGACTGAGGTAGCTCTACTCTACGCGCGTCCGTTGAGTCCGTTCGTTCGTCACGTGTCCGTGTCATCACAAGCGCCCGCGTCTCGGTCCCACCTCAACACATGTCTCGAGTTTGAAGCTGAGTTGACCGTCCAATGCCGATCTGTATATAGCACAAGATGTATGAGCAACGGACTAGCACTGTTGGGCGACAGAGGAGAATCCGTACACGAGCCGCAGAGTCCGCACGCTGTCGAGAGTAGCAAAGGCGGTCTGGAAGTCCGATTCAGAGTGGTCTTGTGGACATTCCTCACTTCCTGTCTCCTCGAACCGGAAGCAACGGTAGCGGCTCTCCATCACGGATAAGAAGTTTTGAGAACTAAGACACCCCCTGTTGGAACACGAGGTCAGGGACGAGCTCGCAAGCTCGGCCGCGATAGTACCTGGCCGAAAATGGATAAGGGAAGGGTATATATACAGGGGTTTTCGATGTACATACCTCACGCGATTGCCCTTCGGGCATCGTCCGCGCCCGGGACACTCGTGCCCGTTGACCGTCGTTCCGCTTGTTCTCACACAATCGCGTCAGCCCACCTGGGGGTTTACTACCAGAAGGCTCTGGGGGCAGCTGAAAGCCCGCCACTCGCTGCGTTGCCGTACCTCGCGCGCATGCTGTCACTCGCTGATACTCTGCTGGCCGTCGCTATGCCGCAGACTCCCGCCGTCGCCGTCGACCCACCTGCCTAGACGAGGCTGAAGCCGTCTACCCGCTGTTGAACGCCACACGCGCGCCACCGCCGCCGCACGTCGTACGATCGACCTGTCGAACCGAACCGCCCGGGACAGGGCCGAAGCTGTCCATCGCCGAACCGTTGTCTTGCCCACCGCTGAGGGCACCATCGTCGAACCGCCGAACCATCGAACCGCCCGCCGCCGAGGGCACCGCTGTCGCACCGTCGACCCGCCCGCCGAGGGCATGACCGAACCGCCCGCCGAGGGCATGACCGAACCGCCCGCCGAGGGCACCGCCGAACTGTCCGTCGAGGACACCGCCGATCGAATTGTTGTCGCTGGAGATGTTGTGAAGTTGCCGGATTTGGACGAGGATCGCGCCGCTGTACGTTGTCGCCTTACCTTCGCACCTAAGGGTCGCCCGTCGGAGCTCGCATGAGCATGGACTATCGGCCGGATGTCGGAGTGTTGGAATGGGTGCCGGAGCTGGATGACTGCGCCGAGAGGATGAAGACTTGAGCTTGGGGGAGTGCCGGATGTTGAACTGTGGGGAGTGCACACAACGCGCTCGCTTGCTTCGCTCGGGGGAGTGTGTTGGAACACGAGGTCAGGGACGAGCTCGCAAGCTCGGCCGCGATAGTACCTGGCCAAAAATGGATAAGGGAAGGGTATATATACAGGGGTTTTCGATGTACATACCTCACGCGATTGCCCTTCGGGCATCGTCCGCGCCCGGGACACTCGCGCCCGTCGACCGTCGTTCCGCTTGTTCTCACACCCCCACCAACAACGATCTACTTCTCCCTTGTACGATGAGAATAAACACCTTGGGTTGTCGCAGGTTGCACACGACAAGAATGGAAACCAGTCCCACCAGAAGCGATGATAGTAGTACGCGCGGTACTTGCCAGAGATTGCGCCGATCCAGTGTGGAAGACTACGTCGAACCCATAGTAAGTGGTCTTCGTCACCAGACACTTCATATGGGCTGAACGCGCCATCAATCCAAAGGCTTTGCACCTGTATACAGGTCTGGAAGTTCGACGAGCTGAGGAAGTTCTCCACATGTATGCGAAATTGTGCCGTGATCCGCGAAACAGCACCAGTGATTGCACCGACAGGAGGGAAGTTGAAATCATTGCTATTTGGACTGACCAGATCAAGGTGTTTGTCCCAGTTCTTGGCACTGTAGGTAAGGAAGTGATGCGCAGAGACGTGCTGATTCTCTGCATCAACCCATGTGTTGTCCTGCCGCCTGAGCAACCACGAGTATCTGGTCTGCGCAAGGTAGAGGAGACAGGCGTCTGCGATCCGTAGCGGGCAAACACAGAAGCCTGTCACAGTGTGGCCGTGCTGGCTCTCCTCCGAGTCGATGTCGCCGCAAAGAAGTTCCGCGTGTCTGTTCAGGAAGTCGAACAGGGTTGAATGGAAGAGTCGGCATGTTTTCTGTAGTTCATTGCCTTGATCGCTTGTAAGCGAATCGGTGCTGTCGTGGTTATCGACAGTGTGTTCGGGCTGCACTTCGATGAGAGGGGAAAGGAGTTCGAGGAGAGTAGGGAGGAAGGGCTTATGCGAGTCATCGAGATGACCGGCTCTACTATTCAAAACTGCAATGGCCTCTTGTATCTCCCCGATCTTCAGCGGTCGCCTCGCGAATGTCACGAGGGAAAACACATCACTGAAAGCGACAGTGTCAACATTGACCTAGTATCAGGCGGAGTTGACTATCAACACCACACGTACCGGGATATGGCTACCTTCTGGGGTGTTGATTGCTTGAGATTATCGAGGAACCTTGCATAGTACGCGTCCAGGTCACCGACCCTCCCTTCCCCCAATATTCGGTCCATTTCTGCCAGGGTGGTAGCCTTCGTGAGCTCGACAACCATGAGATGCGCCCACAAGAAATTGCTTTCGACGCGCCCCATGAGTTGTTGCAAGATAGAATCTCGTTGTTCTGGAGGCACGAAGGTCAAGTCATGGATGGCACTCGAAAGATAACACCAGATGCCCGACTTGACCGCATCTTTGATGTTAAACAGGGTGTACGCTTCAAATTTTCTCCTAGTGTAGGGGATGTCCTGAGAGCTTATCCAGAGACGTATGCCTCGGTGCGTTCTCGCATCAGATGTGACGAAGCTGTTGATCACATCCAGGACCGGGAGCGTGTTGAACGAAGCCTCATTGTCCCGGCAGGCATTCCCAGCAGTTCCCTTCGCCACCTCTTCGTCCACTCCATCGATGAAGATATACACCGTAGGCAGTGTCTGGATGAGCGTATCCAATATCGACCGGACCTGTGTTGTAGTATCTTTGGTTTTGTCGTCTGCAAGACGAGCCAGCGCATGAAGGAGGGAATATGAAGAGTGTTGTAACGATGAGGATTCCCACAACTGGGCGGCAAGGGATTTCAGGACATCGAGGGTTGTGAACTCTTGATCGAACTGAAAAAAATGCGACGCCACGGCGACAGAGGGAGACTCCCTCTGCACTGCCTGTACCACTCTGCGGCAGAGAGTAGATTTCCCGGATCCAGGTGGAGCATAGACCCACAACGCCGGGGATCGGGCATCACCCGTCCTCCACGTCTGATAAGTAGGATTTTCGAAGATCCAGTCACAGCATTGATCCCTGATTGTCGAGTTTTGACAACTGTCACGGATAGCCCCGGCTCCGGCAGGAATAGGTCGTCCAAGGAAGCTCCGCACTGTCTGTTCTACGATACAGACCATGAAATGAGTACCACGACAGAGCTGTAGTCGTGAAGTGACTCACTGAGTTTCTCCAGATGAGCGCGTTCTTGCTGGACAAGCCCTATCTGTCTCTCTACTCTCTCCGTGTTCGTGCGCATTGTGGAGATGATGTTGTCAAATTTGTCGGTACGGAGAACAAGGGCTGACATGATCCTAGTGAATCCTGAAAATGTTGAGCAAGCCATGAAAATACGTGTCAGATGACTATACTCACTATGATGGCGAAGTTCCCGGAACACTTTGTTCCAAAAACGCAGAATGTCGACGTAGGATTGAATTAATATGTTCTCGAGTGCAGCAGAGTCCCCGAAGAGACGGTTGTAAGTCGAAATTCTGGTGAGATCGTCGCCTAGAGCAACTAGTGCCTTGGATATCTTCTCTGGGATCTTGAAGTAACAATCAACAGCCTTGCATATACAAGGTGTGCGTCAATACTGCTATAGGTGCTGTGCACATCAACGACTATGATCTAGCTTGTACTCACCTTTGCGAGAACCCCCACACAAGCCCATACTGCGACCGATATATTTGTCGGATCAAGCGACGCTAGTATGGAACAAGAATGAGGTCAATCTGTGTGCATCGTCAAACACCACGTACTCAGTGTGTTGACAACTCCGTCGTAATTAGTCTGAATATTCGCCAACGTCTGCAAAATCAATCCAATTGTCGATGATTTGGACCAGTGTTTGCCGATCTTATCCTGGATATCGCAATTGATAGCGTCAGGGTCTGGGGGCTTGTCCTTGGGATGGCTGAAATATTGAGCGAAGAAGTCCTCGGTTTTGGCCTTCTCGTCAAGGCCGTTAATGTACTGCTTCAAAGCGCGCTGAAAGAGAGGTTGTCTAAAGAAAATGATCGTTTCAGCACAAATCTGCCTCCTGGGGTCTGCTGGATCTAGTGCAAAGCACGGTCGCACACAGTACTGGTGACAGCCCCGACCTTAGATAGAATGGCAGACAACTTGAAGACTCACTGGATAGCAGCGTCATGACGCAATACTAGGGCAGCCATGGCTTGAGATACGCCCAGCAGTGTTGAGGCTAGTAATTGGTTGACGGTACGCCGAACAAGCTCTCGATGTCGATGTCGCAAGGAGGTACAGAGGGTGCGGTAGATCGTTGGAGGGCCTGCGGATTGCCAGCGGTGCGTATATGAACTTCTCCTAGCGCTGCCCACACTGCCATCATGATAAGTAAGGCAAGCATTCAGAAGACGCAGTGCCTTGACGCCTCGCGATCTCGGACCACAACCTACAAATGGTGACCAACGTTCAAATGTTCAACGCCGCGGTCAGATCTACGTGCATGGAGCCTCGGCTCCCTGTCGAAATGGGTGCGCGCCCGACCTGGCTCCTTCGACAAGTTCGGCACACCCGCCTTCTGTAAACACAACTAGAAGACTGACCGTGCGGCCGCACAGGAATATCTCCATGGAAGCGCACCAAAGCGTGTCGCCGCCCGTGTCTGTGGCGCCAGTGCCTAACGACACTTGCCCAATCCATCATAACCTTTAGCGCCCGCGTGCAAATGCGGAACCACTGTAGAGGGATTACCAGTACCATTAATGGACCCCCCTCCTCCTCCTCCCACAACCGTTGAGCAGGATCAGATACCCCTCCATGGCAGTAGCGCCTATGTAAGGTTCTCGTCGTTGAGCTGGTGCTCAAGCGCTCACATCTCCGCTATGAGGGTCTGGCTCGCTCCCCGTATGGAGCTATCAGGATGCCACTCGAGTACTCTCTCATCATTGGTACCGCATGCCTGGCAGACCGGAAGGGGCTCTGCGCCGCGGGGCTATGTGACTTCGCCGCCCTAGGCTGTGCGTATAAGGCTTCACCAACGTGACAGACAGTAGAACTCTATCCTTGGAGAAGTACCACTGAAGACAGACAGCGCGCTCAAGAATGCACAGCCGCAGAGATCGTGGCATGGCATATATATCATGTTTCAAGTATTCTCATCGCATCCGCAATCGTCTTGTCAAACATCGTCGACTCCTTCTCCATCAGGAAAAAACCCTCCCGTGAATGTGCCGTAATACACTGTTATTCTGCAGAATAGACAGTAATGTCATATGTTCCCGAGTTTTTCGGGAATAGCTTTTGTTAGCTAGTCTCCTCTCTTTCAAGTACGAATGGATAAGTAATATGGTGCATTCCAGAGCATGATCCGCCATTCCTGCCTCATTGAGTCGTAGTACTTCGTTAGTAGCATATTCCCTAGATGCTACGACAGTTCATTGACAGTGCAAATCGAGATTGAGCAACATTAGATTCATTGGGTGATAAAGTATGGAGCACAAAGACACGAGAGTGATTAAATACTACAGGTAGTAGTACTGGGAATAGTATGCAATTATGTACAACTTCTCCGAATCGACTCGTCGGGTATATCATCCCAGTCAATGTTCGTGTCACCAATTCGCATACCCGAGTGCAGGGTACGGCCGGTGTCATCGCACTGACAGGCAGCGCAGGCAAGCAAGCTATAAAAGCAAGGGCTGTGAATGTAGCATAGTTGACTATCCTTTGAGCTGTGCAGTGACGAAATTACTAACCGGGTATTAGACGAACTCGCCCACATGTGCATACAACTCGGCGGCAGGCTCACCAGTCATGCGTAATGTCAATTCGTCGACGTGTTCAATGTGCGCAACACTGGGAACACGTAAGTCATCTTGTATCTTGTCGTGGCTTCCAACATCACTGACGCAGGTCCACTACAGAGCTCCCTCCGCTATCGGCTGCATCTGCCACGCAAGGAACGTCCGGGTTGCCAGGCGTCTCGAGAATGTGGAGGGCGTCTGCGTGGAGTGTTGCGCACGGACAAACGGATAGGTTCGCAGCCAGGCGGGCCATTGCCGTTGCGACGATTGTCCGTTGGGCGACGAGAGCGAGTGTCCGTGCGAGTGGAGCATCACGCGTGTGGTAGAAGAGCCATTTGGCAGGAGCTGCGAGAAGGGTGGCGAGAATAAAAATGTGAGCAGTGTGTTGGGCCAGCTCTAGATGTACTAAAGGCACTCACTCGGCGAGCACATCAGATGCGTACCGTATCGTAGGCAATCGAGACGGGCAACAGGTTGGTACACGACAAAAGGGTGTGAGTCAGGACTAACGAGAAACGATCGACAGTGAGGTACTCGCCGCACCTTATGCCAACAGACGCAGCAGGGATAGACGAGGGCTAGGACGAGCGTTGCTGGCAGTTGGACGCGACGTGGCGATGAGACGGACACGTGGCCAAGTTCAGGGCAGACAAACTGTGGCCTTGTGTTCGCGCCGCAGAAAGTGGCTCCTCTGCGTCTACTACTAGCTCCAATGCCACGCCGCGGCACCCCAATCTCGTTCAATCCAACAACAACAGTGCATCCTCGGCCTCAACCTTCACGCCCATCTCCACCTTCAGCTGCGCCCTCATCGCATCGACCGCCTTCTGCACGCCCATGCCGAACACCGCAGAAGACGCCAGCAACGACGGGGGCAGGGACGAGCTCAAACTGGGCTTGTTCAACGGCGGAGGCCGCTGGCGCATCGCACACGCGTACGTATACAGCTTGCGTAGGTTCTCGCTCGGCGGCTGCATGGGCGAGGGCGAAGTATACCGTGCCTCATACCGTGGCATGGGCATCTCCCCGCGAACGTCGTTGAGCGAGTACGGTGGCGGAGGCTGGCTCGGGTGGAGCGCATGCACGAGGGGCGGCGACACCGACGGCGAAGCATCCGTCGAGTCATTCCATTCACATGTAAGTACACATGCGCTTCTGTCCGACACTCGGTGTAACGTTCCTTGGCAGAGTCGACTCCCGCGCGATTTCGATTACACGTACAGCTCGTTACTCGAAGGCGTGAAACAGGAAGCACACGGTGTGCATGCAAGTCTCGTGCAGAACAATGAGACTACCCGAGTCAGGCAAATCCGTAGCAATGGGGCTGGCAGAAGGGCGTGCACGATGAAGGCAACCAAAGTGAGTAGCACATAGGCTCGAATCTAACAGTGCGCCCTTTTTGGGCATGCCAGACTGCTGCCTCCTTTAGCAGTACTCTCGCGAGCAGGCATATCGGCGAATAGTACATCTGTCTGCGTGCTCGCTCACGCGCCCTTTACCAAGTTGCTCGCGCGCCCGCGCTCCTGCTCGCTCGTCCGCTCACTTAGTCGCTTCTACTCGCAGTCGCTCTGACTCACTCACCCGGCCTCTCGCTCGCGCACTCGCTCGCCTGCGCGCCCCCGACTCGCCTGTTCGTCCCGCTCGTTCGTTCATTTCGCCCACGTTTCCTTTCGCCCACCCTTTCTTTTGCCTGCGCTTCCTCTCGCCCATCTGCTCGCGCTCCCTCGGCCTCTAATGCACAAGCATTGATGTCCTCCCGTGACTTTCGACATAGCAGATGCAGGTGAGTGTTTGCGCTGATCCAGTATGTACAGTGTTGTGCTGTAGCATCGTACGACGTATCTCGGATGCAAATATGCGATCATGACCAAACAATATATTTTGTTTTCTTGAGCAATATGAAGCTATGAATGCATCGGGTGTGCTCTCTGTTGGATTGTAATGAGTACGAGTATCATTGCCGTCAAGTACTATTATTCAGTATTCTGTCTTAGCATTATGTTGCTGCCTGTAGTCAGTTTCATGCTGGTGAATGAATGCATAATTACGAACTCGTACAGCAGTGAAGTGTATGGAAATAAGAATTCAATGCATTATTTCGAATGACATCAGAATGACTCGCCATTACTGAGCCTCTACGTATTATTCAGAATGGTCAACTATACAGCATAATTCCGAGGAGCGTTTTTTCCTGATGTCATCTCAACCCACCCACCCGGGATCCATCATGAACGGCACTGCATCCAATGGCCAAGAAACTAGTGCTGAGGTAGACGATCTGCCAAAGCCTCGTCCACGCATTGCTCGCTACGATATGTTGTAAGTGCCGAACTAATGTACCCAACCTGTACGGTATCTAACACCTCCCATAGCTTCAATCAGTATGTCATTGTGACATAGTTTCTAGCGATGGCGTTTTGACCACCTTCAAGGCGCACTTCGAGATACGAAATGCGGAAGACACACAGACCGGTAGTCAGCCCAAAGGCCATGATCGTCGTCAAACGTCTCATCGACTCGAAAGGCCAGCTTGATGACACAGTCATAGAGATTTACCACGACGGTTTGCGTGACGTTCTACTGGAGATCAACAAAGATGTCAGGGGGCTAAAACTTACCGCGCGAATCCCAACGGTTAGTAGAATCCACGATTCTCTTTCAAAAACGACACTGGAACGATGGTCCTCAGGTAAAGCGGGAGGTGTTCTTTTTTTCCTACGAGCAGCTCGAAGCGAAGCGACGTGACCTAGAAAAGGTCAACAGCGCCGAGTCTCGAGACAGGCTCGAAGGGATTGAAGCAGCCCTACGATTCATCGACGAGGATCTCAAGGAAACCATCAAGGACTTCGACGTTTTCGTGAACAGCCTGCAAATTACGTATGAGTATCTTTGGGCCCTCTTCCGCCCAAACACATACATGCATGCCTATCACAGTGATACTGATCAGCACCTCATTCTTCACGCGCGGACGTTTCAATATTTGCAGAAACCATCAGGCCATTTATATGCCGAGATTGGATGCGACATCATACTCAAGGACGACTTGGAGTTCGGGCTCTCGAGCTTCAGCGTCGAGATCCCTGCATTCTCCGGAGCACGTCTGATCACCGATTTACCCGTTTATCCCCTTGAGTACTATCCAGAACATGATACCCTCTATCAGACCGCCGTTGCCCGTGGACGACTCTACGCTGGATTGGGCCTCCATTTCTGTCAGCACGAGGGTGTAGCCACTGTGTACATCGACGAGGCGGGCAACTCGGAGCCAAAAAGACGGTTTGACAGGGACAACGATGACGAGAACCCAGGGCTGAGATTGCTGGTAAGTCTAGTTCACAGCCTCAATCAGCTCTGAATGAACATTTGGCAGATAAATGAGCGTGTCATGGTTGACGTTGAATCGTTCT